AGAGTGCTGACACATTGTGGGGATTGCAACCAATGTCACAAAACAATTTGTGTATAAATTTTTGAATGAGAAAGTAATTTGCGCTGTAAACTTTCACCTAAAACACAATAAAATTTTTAAAAAGTGCTGCTTATTTTGCGTAGATTTCTACAACTATGCGATCACATAGACTAATCAATATCAGGGATATCAACTCTGAATTGTTGAGGATAACGATATAGACCAGTTTTCCTTAATGTTAGCTAATGGATGAGAGTTTTTCAAAAGGGCTGATACAAAGATAAACGAGAAATAATAGAGAGAGATGTTGACATGAGAAAAGGTGTAAGAGAAAATATAAGTAACAGAGGAAGATAAGAGAAAATGGTGGTAAAAGAGCAGACAGATGAACTTGGTTTTCAGACAGAGAAACAGAGAAGTAAGAGGGGCTAAATATAAAAAAATATATATATATATGTAGCCCTGTTGGTACTCGGGATTCCCAGAAGGTGGAAGGAATCAAAGACAATAATGAGACTAAAACATATCATAAAAATGGTCAGGTATATAGGATACCAAAAAATAAATAGAAATTCTTCTTGGAGAAATTATTTTCAGAATCATTAAAGAATAAGAAAATAAACAAGGAGATGTGACAAAGTTGTGGTTATATCCCTGGATACTGCTAACAAAAGGAGAGAGTGGGAAGTTAGTAGAAACGACTCCCAAGAAATTAGAAACATAATCAAGCATTTGATGAGAGTACCATATCCAGAGCCAATGGTCTGGTTTTCACAAAGTGTTCATACATTCCCAATGCACACCCTTAACAGAGGTTTACAATATCAAATGGAGGAAAAGGAAATAAAGTTATTATTACAAGAGTTCCCATGTATTTTCTTAAATCAGAAACCGGAAGCATCCCCTCCCAAACTGTGAAATACCCCTAATTCCTGCTGAGGTTTCTAGGCTAGTTCTAGTTGAAAATGTTTTTATTGTCAGGTCACAAAGCTCACCACAGCCCTCACATATCAACAGGATGTTCTTTTGCAAAAGGCAATGTCAAATGACAGTTTTGGCAAGGAAAACTTAAAGCCACGTACGTTTGAGGTAGAAAAAATAAATTGCAAGATGAAACCTAGAGAAACGTAAATGGGGAAATGGGGAGGAAAAAGAAATGATGCAAAGCTGCTCTTAAGAACTTGGAAATTTCTCATCAGCTTGGTAAACACTCCAAGTGTTAAGTGATTGGCAAAACTCAACGGTGAGTTTCTGACTGAGAGGACGTGCCCCAAGCAGTAGGTGGGAAGGAAAAGGAATCAAGAGAATCTGATAGCAGAAATGCCTTTTGCCAATATTTCTAAGAACTCAAAGATAGTTAACATGTAAAGATGAGCTGCTAATTTTGATGGTTAACTTTATGTGTCAGCTCGGCTAGGCTCTGGTCAAACACTCATCCAAGATGCTGTTATAAAGTAGTTATGTGTGATTAAATCAGTTGACCTTAAGGAAAGCAGATGACCCTCCATATTGTACGTGGGCTTCATCCAATTAGTTCAAGGCCTTAAGAGCAAAAACGAAGTTCTCCCCGGGTATGTTCTGTCTCCAGGCTATAAATAGACATCTTGCCAGAACGCCCCTCTTCCTGTCGCCACATTTTGGGACACAAGACTGCAGGAATCGACAGCCTGTTGCCTGACCTACAGATTTTGGTCTTGCCAGTGCCTACGATTCTGTAAGCCAGTTCCTTAAAATCTCTCTCTCTCCCTCTGCGCACACACACACACACACACACACACACACACACACACACACACACACACACACACATCTTACTGGCTCTGTTTCTCTAGAGAACCCTGATGGAGACAGGAAATTTCCCA